AAGCATGTGTTAGTTTATTGTTTTGGAATACCACATTAATACAACATTATGTAAAAAAAAAAAAAAAAAAGAGTTTTTATACATGGTCCATGTATGTTTGAGTCATCTTATGATCTTACCCAAGCGTTGATAAAACCTTCCTTATGCTTACCACTAGTGTTGTAGTACTTGAGACCGGTTTTGGGCTCGAGACCGGCCTCGAGACTGTTTTTTTGCAGTCTCGGTCTTGTCTCGGTCTTGAAGGCGCTTGGACTCTGTCTTGGCTCGGTCTTGAAGGTGCTTAGATTTATATATTTCAAAAAAAGTGTGCCAAAATAACTGTAAAATATAAATAAATGTTAAAAAGGACAAAGATGGTCTCGATTTCGTCTCTATGGGCCATAGTGTCGGTCTTGCCTCAGTCTTGGCCTTTAAAAGTCTCAGTCTTGTCTCATTCTCGACCCTCAGAGGTCTTGGAAGAACAACAACAACAACAAGAACAAGAAGAAGAAGAACAAGAAGAAAAACAACAACAACAAGAACAAGAAAAACAACAACAAGAGCAATAACAACAACAAGAACAAGAAGAAGAAGAAGAACAAGAAGAAAAAGAACAACAAGAAGTACAAGAAGTAAAACAACAAGAACAACAACAACAAGAACAACAACAAAGAACAAGAACAAGAAGAACAAGAAGAAAAACAACAAGAACAACAACAAGAACAAGAAAAAACAACAACAAGAGCAATAACAACTCTTTAACAGAAGAACAAGACAAAAACATGGTAATGGGGATAAGGAGTAGAGCCACTGCTCCCTAATCCTCCCGTATGAGAGCAGTGGTGTGCAGCAGGGACTGTGACTTGTCAACACACCGAGGAATGAGGAACAAATCTAGAGTTTTGCGGTTGTATTGCTGCAATCAGATGCTTGTTTGTGATCTGTAATGGGCACTTGGCTCACAACTTCAAAGCTCGCCTCTTTTATATTCAGCCCAAGTCAGTGCACATGATCTATTGAACTCTTACACTAACGGCGCTTATTGGCTCGGAGAGACTGAGGCCTGGAGTCAACTCATCTGTAATGTGTGTCTTGTTTTATCCAATTGCCCGTGCCTCTCGACCAGATGATCACTCCTCACTGTCCGGGCTGAGTTATGCCTCGCAGCGTGCCTCCCCATCTCCATAGAAATAGGCAATAAGCGATAATCACCAGGCCACATAAAGCAATCAGCGCGGATGCAGAGCGGCGCCGCCTGCCACGGCAGAGCTGACAGGAGCGGCGGGGGGGCGGGGCTTGTGTACGGGCCAGTTTACACAGACGCGCTCCAAATGGCTTCGGGACACGGGGCCAGGAGCGCTTGGCCGACGGAGCGGGGGTGAGTCATCGGCCTGGTCACGTGGTCGCATCAGAAATAAACACACAAACAGGAAGTGCCGGCCTCCGTAAGAACTACTGAGCAAATATGGTCACACTTTATTTTAGGGGACAATTAATAGTGGCTAATTACCTGCCGATTCACAAACACCAGCTGGTCAGAGGATCAATTTATTTACATTAGTATTTATTTGAACCTTATTAACCCTTTAGGCGCCAGAGTTTTTCCTAAAACTAAAAATCTTAGTCCTGGTTTAGTCCTATTTTCATCCTGGTTTAGTCCTTTTTTAGTCCTATTTCCTTCCTGGTTTAGTTCTATTTTCATCCTGGTTTAGTCCTGTTTTATCCTTGTTTAGTCCTATTTTGATCCTGGGTTAGTCCTGTTTAGTCCTATTTTCATCCTGGTTTAGTCCTGGTTTAGTCCTATTTTCATCCTGGTTTAGTCCTTGTTTAGTCCTTTTTTCATCCTGGTTTAGTCCTGGTTTAGTCCTTGTTTAGTCCTATTTTCATCCTGGTTTAGTCCTTGTTTAGTCCTATTTTCATCCTGGTTTAGTCCTTTTAGGTTTAGTCCTGGTTTAGTTTTCCTTGTTTATCCTAGTCCTTTTAGTCCTGGTTTAGTCATCCTGGTTTAGTCCTGGTTTAGTCCTTGTTTAGTCCTATTTTCATCCTGGTTTAGTCCTGGTTTAGTCCTTGTTTAATCCTATTTTCATTCTGGAGTCCTGGTTCCGACCTGGTTTAGTCCTGGTTTAATTTGTGGTGTCTAGGGACTACAGATGGAAATTGGCATTCTTGCTATAATCTGTCATATAAATAGTCCTATTTTCATCCTGGTGTAGTCCTGGTTTAGTCATGGTTTAGTCATGATTTAGTCATGGTTTAGTCCTGGTTTAGTCCTATTTTCATCCAGGTTTAGGCCTGGTTTAGTCCTGCTTTAGTCCTGGTCTAGTCCTAGTTTAGTTCTGGTTTAGTCCTATTTTCATCCTAGTTCAGCCCTGGTTTTGTCCTGCTTTAGTCCTGGTTTAGTCCCGGTTTAAGTAAGTAAGTAAGTCAGTCTTTATTTATATTGTGCTTTTCACAGACATGTCACAAAGACACTTTTACAGAATTTAGTCCTGGTTTAATCCTGGTTTATTCCTGGTTTATTCCTGGTTTAGTCCTGGTTTAATCCTGGTTTAGTCCTGGTTCCGACCTGGTTTAGACCTGGTTTAGCTTGAATGAAATTTGACACCCTATTTGGCAAACTCAGCTGTTTCATTCAGAGCGGCATCTTGTCAAGTTAAGTCGATAGTGGCACCTAAATGGTTATCCATTTTTTTGCCCAAATTTATTTGTGTTTAGGAAAATGTGTCTTGCTCTATATCCTCAGACTGAACACAGCTCTGTCCAGTGGCCACAGGTATTCAGAATAATTCTAAGTAACATGAGGAGCTCTAACCACACGGTGCAATACTGCTGCTGCTACAGGAGTGTCAAGAACATGTTAAATATTTGTCAAACAAGAGGCTTCCTGCTTCCATTTCAAAATAAAAGCTCCAGATTTTTTGGTTGTTGCTGTAATCATTTGGTTGTAATAAAGAGTTCTTTGATTTGTGAATTTACTTTTTAGATATTTCATGGCAAAATCTGTTTCTGTGAGTATGAGATAATCTATGGGCCATTGATTTTTAATACAGGTGGGGGCAATTATTGGGTCTAGTCAGTAACAGAAATAATCAGTTTCAACATTTGTGAATTTACTTTTTAGACATTTCATTGCAAAATATAATGTTATTAATAGGAAAAAATGTCTCTTGCCCCCGTCTGGGAGTGTGACATAATCACACTGTAGAATCTGAAAACCACCAGTACAAAGACTTCTAGGATTTGTGAATTTACTTTGTATATATTTAATGGCAAAATCTATTTGTGTGAGTATGATATCAATATATTACACATTCTATGGGTCATTAATCCAGTTAAACTCAGACAAGACTGAAGTCATAGTGTTTGGCCCACAGAAACAAAGACAGTGTCAGCAGTCACCTCCAGTCTCTCTCACTAAAACCTTCAAATAAGGTTAGAAATCTCAGGGCAATAATGGACTCAGACTTGAACTTTAGCAGCCACATGAAATCAATAACATCTGCAGCCTTTTACCATCTAAAAAACAGCAAAAATCAAAGGTTTACTGTCTAAATCAGACTTGGAGAGACTTATCCATGTGTTTGTCTGCAGTAGGTTAGATACTGTAATGATCTCTCACTGGCCTCTCCAAACGAGCTGTGAGACGCTGCAGAACATCCAGAACACTGCAACTCATGTCCTGACTCCAAACAGGAAGTACTAGCACATGCGTCCTGTGTTCAGGTCTCTGCACTGGCTTCCTGCGGCTCAGAGAATCGACTTTAATCGACTCTTTTTGTGTACAAGTCTCTCCATGACCGAGCACCAAAGTACATGTGTGACATGTTAGTGCCATATGAACCATCTCACACTCTGAGGAGCTCAGGGACCAACCTCCTGATAGTGCCCAGACTCAGGACTAAACATGAGGAGTCAGTTTCAGATTCATGCAGCTAAAACCTGGAACAGTCTTCCTGAAGATCTGAAACAGACTCTGCTCTGACTCTGTTTAAATCCAGACTCAAAACTGTTCTGTTCAGCTGCAGATGAATGAAAGGTTTTCATTTTTCATTCCGCACTCTTCTCTCTCATTTAATGTCTCCCTTTCTCTTTAATTTTATGATTATTTGTTTTGATTTGTTTTTCTTGTGATTTTATGTTTTTCTGTAAAGTACTTTGAATTACTTTGTGTACAAGTTGTGCTGTACAAATAAACTTGCGTTGCCTTAAGTAACTTCACATATGTGTTTGGGCTCATCACAGCTTTGTTCCTGCCCACAGCTCTATGAACTAATCCACTTGGCTGACAACATTGTGTTTTGTTTCTTTATTCTGTTTGCTGCTGACTGTCGTCGTTAGCAACCCATCATGGATGTGTTTCTTTTCATTGCTCCGGTGATGAAAACAAAAAAACAAACAAGAAAAAAAAAAAAAAAAACAACAACTGTGAAGTAAAATACAGAAAACTAGAAAATAAAGTCTGTTTTTTTGTTCATGCTCGTCTTATGTCTCACATATGCATCAAGGAACTTTAGAAATGAAACAGATATACACACACAAGAGCTGAGAAACATTGTGAGTTTCATTCCACAGTTGAATTGTAGCTTGTCTAATTTCTATAAGAAAATAATATTCTGAATTAAAGTAGTTTATTCAATTCAGTTCTAGTTTATTTATATAGCACATTTAAAATTACTTTAGCTGACACATACAAGCCAACAAAAACAGAAGAAACTGTTACATATACATATATACAGATAACACGTGAAAACTACAATTCAACATAATGTTTTCTACCTTATTTTTTGACACTATCTTCACTTTTACAATGCCCACTCCCTGAGCCCTTCACACCAGATCTGTGGGCCAACCCACCTGGCTGACTGACACTCATTGATCTTTAGTTACTGAAATGCAGCCCTTTCTCTTGCAGGACACCATAATGTCTCTCACGTGTGGGTTTTGTAAAGCTGCCCCTCCCTCAAATGCTCCTGACTGGCTGATGTGGTCCAATAAAAAGAGTGGGGGAGGGGTGGAGGGGAGGGGCACTTCAACAACTGCAGCAAACTTCAGGGACAAAGAAGAAGCGGTGAATGGACACGGAAGAACCTGTTTTTACCAAATCCTGTTGGTTAAAGTAGTTCCAGAACTTCCTGCCAGTACTCTTGTAAGTATATCCTATCTGTTGTCCATGTGGATACGAATTCAGAGCAAGAAAAGTTGTTAGATATCTCTGTATATGTTAACTTACAGTTTTTCTCTGTTGGTTTGGCTCATTTCTTGAAACAGAAACAACATTCTCAAAACAACATGGACAAATCTCCAAACCACCTTGCAGTCGTTCACAACAGAATGACATTTCTCACTGATTTAATCAAATTGCAAATGTATTAGTGCATGTCGCAAGTGTTTCAGTGCATCTTTGCAAATGATTCTGTACAAGTCTCCTACAGTTAGCAATATGAGCCCATGTTTAGCACTTTTTCCAAATAAATAGAACTGATGAGTTGATTCTTAGTCTAATGGTTGTTCTCTCCAAAACACGCCAGCATGATTTCATTGTCTGAGTCATTATCTGCACAATAGTCTGTTAAATTGTCAGAATTAGTCAAGAACATAATACCATGAACATCATATATGATTTTTTTTATTTTTTTTTGGAACATTTGATAAATTCATGACAGTAATTGTCAGTCAGGTGAAATTAGAACTTCCTATCACACTATGTGATCATGTGGGACAGTGTGAATTTCCATCGTGGCCTGGTTCACTTCCATCTAAAGAGGCTCATGGAGCAAAAATCAAAGATATAGTGTCTAACCACCGTACTCTCCTTTCCTCAATCCAGTTTTTTTTTCCGCTTGGAGGTGGAGAGTGTATGAACATTGGGCTCAAGACCAGAGGTTTGCACCATTTCTTCCCGCACTGCATCGCAAGAGAAAATATTCACTGAGATGAGGATGAAAATCTAGGACCAAACAGAGAGCAGTGTGTGGATGTCCAGGAGGATGAGGATGGTGGTCAGGAGAGGGAGGGTGACAACTGCGACCAGTGAAAGTGTCACTGTAGAAACTTTATTTGCTTTATTTACAGCACTGTAGGCTAGATGTAATTTGTTTGTTTGTTTGTTTGTATTTATATTTCGTATAGTTTCGGTGGCAGTGTGAGAGCAATGTGTGTGATGTCAAACTTTTACTCTTACTGTGAAATCCTTTTTTTTTTTTTTTTTTTTTTTCAGTTTTATCCATAATTATTTTCTGTTAGATGTTTTGTTACTATGGCAGAGGTCAAACTAAGCATTTTGAGCTGCAGTGCTGACACAAGGCCAAAGGGACGATGCATTTCAGGGGCAATGACTCTTTATATGAGAAAGGAGTTTAGTTTTGACACAAGTGTTTTGGGACAGATCTGAGCTTTTGCAGGTGATCGACAAAAGCACTAAGTGAATGCAAAAGAGCCAAAGCAACTGTGCAGGATCTCTGCAATTTTGGTGGCACTGACTCTTTACATGGGGAAGGAATCTGAAGCATTTGAAGCATGTGTGAACAGTTTTGGGAGAGGTCTGAGCTTTTGCTGGTGATCTGTAATGTTGCACAGAACTATCAGACTTGGCCAAATGATCTTACAGTTTTAAGAATGTCATTTCTGTTTCAAGAAATGAGTCAAACCAATGGAGAGAAAACTGTAATTTGACAGAAAAAGTGTGCCTTTAGTTGATTCGCTCAGTCTCTTGCTTCTAAAACACACATTGAAACATTCTTGTGTGTTGTTACGGCCACAGGCCTCCAGATCCTCCTGGCCATATTTGCCTAGATCCGTGTGTGTGTGTGTGTGTTTGCAAGCCTCCATATGCAGACCCCCGCTGTGATGCTGTGATTGGAGGAATCGATTTAAGATGGCATCTGGAGCCCCTCCCGCTGAATGGTGGAACCCTGGAACACCTGGCCAATCCCAGGCCTACACCTGGAGCTCCGGCCCTATAAAAGGACCCGCCCCCTGCCACTCTGGGCAGCTGTTCTGTTTGTGGACTTGCTTGCCATCTTTGTGTCTCTCGTGCTGTGTTTGTTGAGATACTAGAGTCCTGGTGACTTAGACTGTTTTTTTGTTTTTCTGTTTCATTTAGTGTACCCCGTTTTGCTTTGCTTATCTTTCCTTATATTGTTAGCCACTCTGTTTAGAGCCTCTTTTTGTTAATTCTTGTAAGAATCATTGTTTTGTTTGGTTTACCTTACAATTCTGTTAAATAAATCACAACTTTAGTTTTACCATTTTACAATCTTGGTTATTTTGTTACTTCCCCCTGTCCCTAGCAGAGCTGGGTCGTAACAATTGGGGAAAAAACAGTCTAAGTCACCAGGACTCTAGTATCTCAACAAACACAGCACGAGAGACACAAAGATGGCAAGCAAGTCCACAAACAGAACAGCTGCCCAGAGTGGCAGGGGGCGGGTCCTTTTATAGGGCCGGAGCTCCAGGTGTAGGCCTGGGATTGGCCAGGTGTTCCAGGGTTCCACCATTCAGCGGGAGGGGCTCCAGATGCCATCTTAAATCGATTCCTCCAATCACAGCATCACAGCGGGGGTCTGCATATGGAGGCTTGCAAACACACACACACACACACACACACACACACACACACGGATCTAGGCAAATATGGCCAGGAGGATCTGGAGGCCTGTGGCCGTAACAGTGTGATTTTATGTGTATTTAGTTAGAGTTACTTTATTTGAACAGTAAAAAAAAAAGTTGTTTTACATGACACTTCTTTTTCCTTGTTCTAATGCAGAGATACAAGACCCATCAACAGAATGGTGTTCATCTGTGACCAGTGTGGAAGGGTGTGCAAAAAACCTTCCATACTCGAAGTGCACTACAGAACTCACACAGGAGAAAGACCGCACAGATGTGACCAGTGTGGGAGGGGATTTATTCATTCTGGTGCCCTCAATCGACATATGAGACTCCACACAGGAGAGAAACCGTATGGATGTGACCTATGTGGGAAGTATTTTAGACATCTTAATAGCCGCAATCAACACATGACAATCCACACAGGAAAAAAATCATACAGATGTCATGTTTGTGAGAAGGCATTTGCACTGTCAAGCACCCTCGTATCCCATATGAGAATCCACACCGGAGTGAAGCCATTTGAATGTGAACAGTGCGGGAAGAAATTTACACAGTTCGGAAACCTCCATCAACATAGGAGAATCCACACCGGAGAGAGGCCATACGAGTGTGACCAGTGTGGGAATACCTTTTCTCTATTATCCAATTACACTAGACACATGAGAGTTCACTTCTGGCACAAACTGTATGAGTGTGACCAGTGTGAAAAGGCTTTTAGAACATCCCAGGATCTCTCCAGTCACTACCGAAAGCACACAGACGGACCGTACGACCGTGAAGAAAGTGGGAAGGCTTCCAGGTCCGCGAGGAATCGTCAGAAACGTGTCCAAATCTTACAGACTGGAGAGAGAAGCTGCAGCTCTAATGATTGTGGGATGAATTTAAGTAAACCTGCCCAACCTGAGCCTCAAGTCGGACTCAAAAAACTGGAGATCAGGCTTCACCGACTCGAGACTGTGGAGTTGAAAAATTACAAGCTTTAAATGAAATGTTTAGATTTTTTTTTATTAGGAAGAGGTTTTAGTTGAAGTTTGTCCATCGTATTTGTCGTTATTTTAGTTTAACTTTGAGCTTTTAGCTCCTAAAATCTAAGGCATTGTTTTCCAAAGACTGGATCGCAAGAGTTTTTTTTTGGGGTCACCTTGTCATGATCTACATGTAGGTCTACAATATACATCTACATACATGTATATATAGGGCCACCTTTAATGTCATAATAGGCTCCTTATGACATCAAGTGGCCCCTGCCTTAACGACGTTGAATCCTCGTAAAACTACGGTTATGACTGATTACGGTTTTTCATTGTTTAAAACTTGAGTAACACTAATTGTTCAGAGAGACATGATCACTCAGTCAACAATAAAATATCCTCATTAATGTTCAATAAAGGTCACAAATTTATATTATCATTTACGAATAATGTCTATTGACTTAGATTGAGAAGATTTATGACTTTTAAAATATGGGTCCCCAGAAAAACAGTTTGGGAAACACTGATCTAAATGAATTTAGATCAGTGTTTCAATGAATCATGTGAATTTTTTTGTTTTGTTTTGGGGTTTTTTCTGTTTGCTGCATACTCTTGTAAGCATATCCACAACAGACGTTCATTATTTTCATGGCCACTGTGATGAAATAAAGTGAAATAAAATTAAGAAAATTACAAAAACTAAATTTTCTTCAGTTTTTTTTTCTTTTTAGAACATTTGTTCATGCTTGTCTTGTCTTATGTCTCACATGTATCAAGTAACTTTAGAAATGAAACATCTACACACACAAAGGGCTGAGAAACACTGTGAGCTTCTTTAACAGGGGAAGCTTTAAATGTTAATGAGATTTGGGAGAAGGTTTGAAGCTGGCTCTGAATGACACAGAATAGTAGAAGAAGGAGCTTTTTTTTTTTTTTTTTACATGTAATCCATGTACTGTTAATATAGAGTTTGTTGATGCAGAAATGGCAAATTGAGTTTTCTCTCGAATAGTAACTTGTCAAATTACATATATATATTATATATGTATATATATATATATATATATATATATACACATACATACACACACACATACATATATGAATGTATTAGTCATTTAACCTATGTTTTATATTTTCTTGTTGCCTCTGTCTTCACTTTGACACTGCTTCACTACTCACTTTGAAATATACAGTTTGATGATTCAGAAATGATTTTGTTTTAATGAAACATTTTAAGTTGGAAAAGTGAGGATCTTTGATCTGAAAGGACACAGAACCAAACAGATCTGATCATCTGATCTCAAGAAGAGCGAGATGTTTAGTTTATGTACTCAATACAGTTGTCTGATATTTAGCACAATAATAATTATTCAGATTTATTGCCCACTGTAGTGAAGACTTCTGTTTTGTAAGTAGAGTAAAATGTTGTCAGCATTGAGGATGATTTCATGGTGGAGCTTGGATGTTCATGTGATCCTTCAGTTATTCAGGTAGCCAGTAGAAAGTAGAAATTCAACTTTTGTCCACTTGACAGAACTGCATTTCTCCTTTGCTTTGGGGCTTGGAAGTTTTTAAGTGGACAGTGAACATCACTGTCTCGTGCCCCTGTGAAATAAGAATTAAGACTATTTTAAGATTAGAGGTCATTTTAACTCATGTAGATATAAAATTTTAGCCTTTGCCCCCACTCCCTGAGCGCTTCACACCTCTGCTCCCACCAACAGATCTATAGACTAATCCATGCCGCCCTGACCTCGGTGCTTGTGTGGCGGGTGAGGCTGCTGACAGAATCTGTAATAAGTCTATTTTTCTGTTTAATAAGTCTGTTTTTCATTGCAGGAATCTGGTGCGGTTTTCAGGACATTATATGTGTCATTATGTGAACCCATGTGAAAACACGTTGCTTTGGTTGTAGTTGGTGTAACTGGCAATCCACAAATAACCCGCTCAAAGTACATTCTGGAACCAACCTAGAGTCAGTGTAAATCAAAAAGAGAAACAGACATTTATCAGTAACGTACCATTCACATTCACCAACAATCTCAGGAAAGAAGCAAATGTATAACTGACCCAGAGTGCTCCGTGTCCTTAGACCCTCATTCTCGGCAAAGAAAAAACTCCAAAACATTAGGGGTTGCATGGTATTCATATTCATATTGAACTGTCACAGTACAGGGGTTACGGTTAGGTACGAGCATTTTCACATAGAATACAGTACAAAATACTGTTGTGTCGCGTGAGAGTTCCTTCAGGACGCATTTAGCCTTTTGCATCTGAAAACTTTGATTGGTCTAGCTTTTCGAACTCCGCCTTCCAATACAACCTCTGCTTGGTAGTTTGTTTTGAGGCTCTCTGGTTGTGAGTGAGCTAATTTTGAGAATGGCGAGTGGCAGCACACAGGAGTTAGAAGACCCACCTGCATCATTTAAGTCAATGGTGTGGGATAACTTCGGGTTTACTGTGACTTATAATAGTGACGGTGAGCGGGTGGTCGACAAGACGAAGACGGTCTGTGAGGAATGATGTGCTTCCTATTTGAATTTATTTACTGGATCGCTAAGTTGGAACCCACAGCAGGTGATTGGTAAGAATCACTGTGACACTTCACTTGATTGGAGTATATTTATTGGAGGCTGTCTGATTGTGATGAGTATATCTGGGTTTGTATGTGTGTGTGTGGTTCTGAAATGACAAGAAAATAACAATAATGAGTAATGTAAATGTACACAATATGAATATAAAATTATACAAATAACATGTAACAACTATAAACCTTAATAAACATGGTCAAAATGACCATAGCGACCACATGACAAGGCGTGTGTCGGGCCTACATCCAATTAAGAACCACACCGTGTGTTGGTTACATAACTAGGAAATTAGCGACAGAATATGAACACTCGGTATCGGTAAATAGAAAATGAACTAAACATGGCAAGGTAAAACACAACATTATACATATAATGAGGAACAAGGCTACAGGAAAAGTAGGCCCAAGCTAACAACAAAGTGTAACGAAGAGCAGATAATATAAAACGCACTCTCATTGACACACAAACAACGAACACTTACTTGCATAGGATGCACACAATTCACACAATCAGAGGACAGCAAATACAAAAAAACAAGCAGGTAATAATAGCGCCACTAAACACTGCTGCTTGCATCAAACTTTCCGACCAACTAATAACTAGCTTCAGGCTGAAGAGTCCAAGGCGTCTTCTGATTGGATGAGAGTTCAGGTGAAGCGAGGTGCACGGCAAGTGAGGAGAGAGAGAGCGTCAAAGTCTGTGGCCACAAGGGGACCTTTTCTACATGGTCTGTCTGCGTTGTTCGACACTTGTTGGCTATGTGAGCGGAAACACTCAAAATATACTACTAACACATATTCGAGCATCACCAGACGTCGCTATCACTAGAACAAGACCGAAAAAAAGTGTCCAGTTACTTCTCCCCGCCGTATTTAATCAACCAATAGACACAAACACTAGTAGAGTAAAAAAATTACCTAAGTAATTGGGATTTATATTGCATCTGCTCTGCGCCTGCACTACACTGAAGAAGAGGTAGGCTTCAAATATTTATTACATGTGCTTGAACCTCGCTACGCCGTGCCGTCCTGCAGCCACGTGAAACAAACTGTAGTCCCCGGCATTTACAACAGAACAAGACAGACAGTGGAGCAGGAGTTGTCAGCTGCACGTTCAGTCGCTCTCACGAGTCACGACAGATTCTTGGAGTTCTCGAGCTACCGAAAACTTCCTTACAGTAACAGCGCATTTTATCAGCTCTGGATGGGAGATGAGAACGGTAGTCCTACAAACGCGCCCCTTATATGAGCAGCACACAAGCAGTCACCTTGCTGAGAAATGTAAAGCTACCAAAGAGGCCATTTGGCAAAACTGCGCTGATGCACCTACCAGTAGAGCTGGTCTTCTATGTGGTGCTTGTTCACTTTTTTTTCAATTGTTTCAGGATGTTGCAGCTACCTCAGATTTGAACAATAAAAAACAGCCTTTAAGGATAGCCTTTTTGGTTATGTTTTTTTTTTTTTCTTTACCCTGCACTGTACCGTAGGGTCTGAACAGAGGTATGTACCGAACCGTGACTTTTGTGTACCGTGCCACCCCTACTAAACATATAACTTATAACAGCAGAGCACCACCAGTGTGAGTGTCACTGCAACAAAACCAAAATCTGAAAAGCAGTCCAAGTGAAGCTTAAAAGTGCATTACATTAACATTTTGGTTGGGGCTCCGTCACTTGCTTGATTCTTCTCCGCATGATTTGGTCTCCAAGATGATAGAAAGCTTAACTCTTTCCCCCCTGGACGCCTACTAGGAACAACCCATACATATGTTACTAGGGCTACCCATAGAGCATAATTTTATAAAAGAAAACAGACTTCCACAAGTGATTATAAATGATTTTTACACTCATGAACTTAATTGTAACACAGACATATTTGTATCTCTGGAAACCTTAGACTCTGAACTATTCATTTCTGGATGTTTAAATGTGATTCAACTCATTTATAGGTGTATAACAGCTCACTGAAAATGAGAGTTTACCTGGTCAGGTGCAAGCTCGAAAACAAAAAACTACATTCAGCATCTGATATCTGCATGTTCTGAAACTATATTCATAAAAAAATAAAAATATACTTTGTCAAAGTATTTCAACAGATTTCATATCACCAGATACAGTATAGCCAAGTGTGCACCTGTTTTTACCTGTTGTTCACCTGTGTGGACCCAATTAATTTTTCCATTTAACTTTTTCAACTCATTTAGCTTATTCAACTTATTTATTTATTCAACTCATTTAGCTTATTATAATATAATAATATAATAATAAAACTCTTCCCGTCAGTGTGTGTCCAGTATTTGTCATCTTGTTACTTTTCTCATGTTCAGAGCTCCACATAAGCGTTTTTTCTGTAGCGATTCTGTTATACATCGCATCTTGGAAAAAAAGACTGAAATATTTTAAAGGACTGACCTGGGCAAAACATCCAGATTTCAGGGCAATTTTGGTTCATAATCGAGTATAAAGCTCAGATAGTTTGTTCGGATATCGCAGGACTCCACACAGACGCATCAGCGGCATTCTCACCTTCTCCCCGAAAGTCCGTCGCTATCGCTGTTTTCCACTTTATAATCAACTTCAACATCATCACTTTGAAATCTATAAAAGTCACTTTCTCTAAACTTATCCATAAAATACGTCCGCTCCTCATTATTTCTAAAACTGTGCGCCGCAGCGCCGCGATCTTTCCATTGCACGTGTTTCGTGTTGTGTTTTTTCCGGAAGCTACCATCGTCACTATTTCGATTAACTTCGGAAAAAATCGGCGAAAACATATCCTTGAATCCTATTGGTCAGTCTAGTGTGGGTTGTAGTGGCCCCCACCGATCACAGTCTCTGTTTAAATGTGAAAAACCGAGCCATTTCTAGAGGTCGTCAAATCACGTCTTTAGTGATACGGCGGAGGTGTCAAAAGTCGTCATTAAGGGTTCAGGGGGGTCGTCAAATGTCGTCTTCATGGGGGAAAGAGTTAATACCAAACTGTGAAACCAGAAACGTTCCACAATACACATTTAAGCAGCTCTTTAGATCAAAATAGCACGACGCTGTGCACTCTCAGCTTCTAATTATGCAC